TTGCCTCAGCAATAGATGTAGCACCAGCATCACTAATACCATTAAAAGACAAATTCAAATAGGTCACAGACTTGTTTATTTTGATTGCCTCAGCAATAGATGTAGCACCAGCATCTCTAATACCATTGCGAGACAAATTCAAATTTGTGAGAGTCTTGTTTACTTTGATTGCCTCAGCAATAGATGTAGCACCGGCATCATTGCTACGATTCTTAGACAAATTCAAAGAGGTCAGAGTCTGATTGACTTTGACTGCCTCAGCAAGAGATGTGGCACCGGCATCACTAATACTATTAAAGGACAAATTCAAATTAGTGAGAGTCTTGTTGATTTTGATTGCAAAAGCAATAGATGCAGCACCGGCATCACTAATACCATTGCCAAACAATTTCAAATGGGTGAGAGTCTTGTTGACTTTGATTGCCTTTGCGGTAGATGTAGCACCGGCATCGCGAATACGATTGTTAGACAAATCCAAAGAGGTGAGAGTCTCGTTGACTTTGATTAAACCTGCAATGGACGTAGCACCGGCATCACTAATATCATTGCCAAACAATTTCAAATGGGTGAGACTCTTGCTGACTTTGATTGCGTCAGCAATACATGTAGCACCGGCATCGCTAATACGATTGTTAGACAAATCGAAAGAGGTGAGAGTCTCGTTGACTTTGATTGCTCCTGCAATGGACGTAGCGCCAACATCACTAATATCATTGCCAAACAATTTCAAATGGGTGAGACTCTTGCTGACTTTGATTGCGTCAGCAATAGATGTAGCACCGGCATCGCTAATACGATTGTTAGACAAATCCAAAGAGGTCAAAGTCTTGTTGACTTTGATTGCCTCAGCAATAGATGTAGCACCGGAATCACTTATACACGCAAAACACAAGCCCAAAGTGATTAGCGTCGCGTTAGCTCTGATTACCTCGGAAAGGATTACTGCTAAAACTTCACTAAGAAACTGACATTCGACATAAAGATGTGTTTGGGTCAAATTGTAACCAAAACATCTTGCTAACTGTAGGTGAAAATCATCTTTCTTTCTTTTGCATTCGTTGATGGCCTCCAATAGAAATTTGACACTCTGACAGTTTTTGCTGGCGGGATTGTTAACCCGCTTTCCTAAACTGGAGACAAGAGCTGCAGCTTCTTGATCGGACTGTTCTGCTAAAATACCGCACGAGAACAATAGCACCTGTGTCATGTCAAGGAAATAGTTGTCATCTGAAACTAACTCCTTAGGTGTAGTTCGTTTATCTTGAATCTCACAACAGAGATAGAATGCTGCGAAGCATTCTTGAAAGCTTTTGTGTAGAAATGCATAATGCGGACTCGGTCTCAGTTTACTACCTCCGGGATGAATTGACAGAAATCCGAAGGCAGCCAAGTCACTGGCATGCTTTCCTAATTCATTCTCTTCAAAATCCAACTTGTCTTGTTTTAAACCATTTAACGCAATAAATCCAAGGGTTTTCAACTGCGGTTTGTAAAGGTTTGTAAGATCTTCTTTCGTATCTGGTAGTTCTTTCTTTTTCCTATATCTTCTCAAGACACATTCAATCATTTTCAAGAACAGTGTAGTTCTTTTTTCCGGAAGGGTACCATCGAATTCTTCGCACAAAAGGCAAAGTAGGACCGTGTTCAATGGATTGGCACACATTTCTCTAAGGTTTTCATCGCGTGATATTCGTGCCGAGAGCTTTTCAGCTAACTCTGACTTTTCCTTGAAGTACTTGGCGATAAATTCTCTGGCTTCTGCTTCAGTAAAACCTTCGACCTCGAGCAGGGTGTCACAGAATTTTCTTACCTTTACTCCAGCTTCGTGTCGGGCTGTTGCCACCACCTTACATTTCGGAAGTACTCTTCCGGCAATTATTTCTGAAATTGTCGGCATTTCAGTGGAAGGTAACTCATCCAATCCATCTAATATCAATAAAATGCTGGATTGATTGGCACGAATAAATTGGAAGAATTGCTGTTTGACGTCTTCATCGACATCTCGGGGCAGAAGCTGATCATCAATGGCTTCCCAAATATCGGACTTCATATCACGACATTTAAGGAAAAACACTACTTTTATGTTTGTGACGCAATCATAGGGGTTCTGCTTTTTTGTAGCCCAGTCATAAACATACTTTTTACAGTAGGTAGTTTTACCTATTCCAGGTTTTCCTTCAATTAGCACTGTTTTCGGTTCTGAACACTCTTCATGTGGATCCAAGAGAGACGACATGGTAATGATCTTGTCAGTGACGTCTCCTCTCGTTTTCTTTCTTCTGACCACTTTGAGCCTTGTAAAAATATCACCGACAAAAAACTGAAACTCTTCACACCATGGAAACGGTGAAAGCCATCCCTCACGATTCTTGTACAGTTGGCGAATTTCATCGATTAGCTCAGTTGGATCAAAAACACCTGAAATAAATCGAAGTAACACTAGTAAACTCGTGGATATACTGTACATAATATAATCAAAATACATAGCAATTTTACTAAAAGCCGACGATCCTAATGAATAAGTGGCAACGAGGAATCTTATCGTACGAAAAGAACTAATTTACGGACACAAGTTGAGCTGGCAACTTCCCTGAGAAGTAAGTTACCAGAAAAGGTCGCTACAAGAAATGTCTACTTAACAATGTCCACCAGGAATTAGACCACAAAGGACCGATGTTCAGGTGCATAAAGGTGGCGAGTAAAAAGCAATACTTACAAGTTTGTAGTTGAACTGAAGAACTTACTGTTGGCTTCATCTTTTTGAAAACATTACAACGAAAGTGCTCGTACGTATTGAACACGGCCAAAATTTTGAAAAAACCAATAGATAAATAAGTTCCAAACACACACAGAAAATCACTTATTTTCCCATAACAAAACAAGCTAAACAGAGAATCTTTCGTCTGCGGGTCGGAAATCTTTTCACACTTGTCATTTCGAACCGTATGAATTTAAATTTAGTTAAAGACCGTCGTATGATAGGCCCTAAATTAGTAATAAATGGATCGATATATTCTCCACCAAGTTTTGGTGGAGAAATTAAACTATTTTAATTCCACTCTATCAGCATATGATGGATTTCTGCTACAAATTCGTGCATTCACTACTTTCTATGTCAATTCCAAAAGATGTTTGATTAGACGTCATCACCGAGTGTGAGACAGAAACGTCATCGCGTTACGTTGCAGGTTTCCCACCTAAAACCGACCACCTACAATTTTTCACAAATCTCTACAGATGAGAAGTGGCCTTAAGGGTAGCATCTCAACAACTGACCTTCATCCTTGCATTTCTCAGCTGAGACTGTCTGGTTACCGCGCTTTTCCTTCAACCCCTTCAGTTCAATCTCCATCCTGGAAAGTTTGGTGTTTATTTCATCACTGAATTCCTGCAGTGACTGTTTTATGCCCTCTACAGATTGAAATGTAAATTATTATTTGCTCGTTTAAATCTTGTTTTATTCAGCAGAAAAAGAGATCAAAACGGTACATCATCAATGTTCTTTATAATTAGTATCAAATTGGGGCCCAGGAGTAAAGGGAATTATATTTGGGACAAAATTTCAGGTGAGTGCATGATTGAAAAAAGGGTCAAATCAAAGGAAATATGTAAAACCTCTAAACATAGTAAACAACCAGCCAAATATCTGTAAAAAATGGCTAGAACAGGTACGCGAAATCACATTGAAGAAAAAAAAATCGTTTAAAAGGTGAAATCAAATAAATATTTCAAACTTCAAAACATTTGAAACCAGTTACCAAATATGTGTACCATATCGCCAAATGGCAGCCAAAACAGATAGGCTAAAAATAAACTTTGAGACAAGAATTAAAATCGCTCATGTGGTGATAAGATATTTTCTTATCTATCGTCGACACTGTTGTCATCGTCGATTTTGAGACTTAAAGACTCAAACTGAGTATTCTTCTTAACGTTTGCTCTTCGTTTGCGAGGTCTCCAAAGGTGTATTTTGATCAAGAATGGACCAAAAATTAAACAGAAATACCACCTTGATGATTTAAGCATACGGACCGACAAAATTTTTCCATATGGTTCCTTGGTCTGTTTTCAATGTCGATTTGAAGACTTTGAAACCCTTTTCTTTCCAAGAGAGTATTGTTACGAGCATCCTTTTCGTTTGTAAGCTCTATTCAGGTAAATTTTGATCAAGAGATCAAGAAGACTGCAATTGCCTTTGGTAGAAATTCAGACGGAAAAGGCCTTTGGCAAGCTTTAGCATTTTGAAATAGCGAACTTTTAAAACTTGCGGTTTGATGTGTGATAAAACGAGACAATAGCACTGACAATAACATGCGTGGCCTTTGTTTCTTACCTCCGCCCTGACAAGTTAATAAGCAACGGTAATGTTCCTTGTGGAGGAAGGGGCGCAAATTCTCGACCGATAAAAACCAACTGGTGCACGGTTCGCCGCTAATATTATATGTCTACGATTTTTTTGTTTACTGCAAGGAAACGTCTCGAGAACAATAGACATTCTGGGCGACGAAAAAACCCAGCAAGAGCATTTTCGCATACAGCGAAACGCCATTTTGCATATTGTTGAAAACTCAATGTTCTCAGGCAAAGATTCCAGCCTTTGTATCACCCTGAACACATTAGAGCCGGCGACAATATCATGGTATTGGGGACAGAGGCAAACCGAATAGGGGAGGCTTGCCATTCTCATCCCCAGTTTCCTACG